CTGACACACTAGCCATCTAGTTAGCTCGCCAGCCAGCTAGCCATCTAGCTAGCCAGCTAATTAGCTAGCTAGCAATCTAGCTAGCTAGCTAGTTAGCTAGCCAGCCATATAGCTAGCTAGCTAGCTAGCTAGCCATCTAGCTAGCTAGCTAGTTAGCTAGCCAGCCATATTGCTAGCTAGCTAGTTAGCTAGCTGGCCATCTAGCTAGCTAGCTAGCTAGCTGTGTTGGTAAGTTGCTGGCTAGCTGGGGGCTATGTACACGCTCCCCTCCTTGGAATGGCCAGCTATCCAGCGGCGTTTTGAGCTGTGTAGCTGCCCAGCTAGCTAGATTGCTAGCCAGTTAGGTAGTTACGCAGCTAGCTAGCTAGATAGATAGATAGCTAGCCAGGTAGCTGGCTAGCTAGCTATTTAGCTAGCTGGGTTTCTGGCTAGCTAGCTACGCTCCTCGCACATGGTGTCCTGCGCATAAAGCGTTCCAAACCTCCGCATTTCAAAACTCTAGGGTTTAGGGTTTAGGGTTTAGGGTTCGGGCCTCTACGGGCCCTGGGGGTTTCAGCGGCTAGCCAGAGGAGTGCCCACAAAACTCTAAACCCTAAACCCTAAACCCTAGGCCGTGGGGCCCTTGGGGCCCCCGGGCCCCTGGGGCCCCTGGGGCCCCGGGGACCCCGGGGCCCTTGGGGCTTCAGGGGGCCCCTAGGGGATTTGAAGCCCGCAGAATCCTCTGGGGACTTCAGGGGGTTCTGAAGACCTTAAGGGCCTCTGGGGGCCCCTCAGGGCTCCTGAGGGCCCCTAGGGGCCCCTGGAGGCCCCCTAGAGGCCCTTAAGACCCCGTGGAGACCCTGGAGTCTGGGGCCCCTAGGGCATCCCTGATGCGGCTTCTTTGGGGCCCCAGGGTACAGCAAAAGCAACACAACCCGGGGGCCCCCAAAGCCCCGCAGGGCCTCCAGGGGCCCCCGAGGCCTTTTGGGGCCCCCCAGGGCCCTTGAGGGCCCCCAAGGGCTTTTAGGGTCCTATAGAAACACGAAGGCCGAGGGGTGCCCCCACAGAGGCCTTAAAGGCTCTCTGGGGCCCCCCAGGGGCCCCCAAGGACTCCAAAGATTCCTGGGAACTTAGGGGGCCCCCCGGAATTTTAGAGGCTCCCGAAGACCCCTAGAAGCTCTTGAAGCCCCCAGGGCCCCACAGGGCCCGAAGGACTCATAGAGACTTCCCAGGGCCCCCGGGGGCCCCCAGTACCCATTCAGGGGCCCCCAAAACCCCCAAAATCTCCAGGGGCCCCCAAGGGGGCCCCCAATTGGGCCCCAAGAGGCCCCAAGTGGGCCCCCCGAAGGCCTCGAGAGGCCCCCAAGAGGGCCCCTCAAGGCCTCGAAAAGTCTTCGGGATCTTTGGTGCCCTCAGGGGCCCCTGTTGGGGCCCCGGATGTTCTATAGAGAGCAGCAGATATGTGGCTGTGTACCTTTTGCTGCTGCACTTTTAGCTTCTGGGTCTGGGGCCCCAGGCAGCCCAGCTGCAGCAGCAACAAGTGCAGCAGCAGCAGCTTCAGCAACAGCAGCAGCAGTAATTACAGTAGCAACAGCCTCAGCAGCAACCGCAGCAGCAGGACCAACTGCAGCAGCAGCTGCAGCAGCCTCAGCAGCAGCTGCAGCAGGGAGGGTCACTTGCTGCTTGTACTGTGAGGCCCGTCTGCAGCAAGCTTTTGGTGCCTCTCTAGCTGCATATATTTCTTAATAAACAAACTTTTCATCTTTTTCATCTTTTTAATTATCTCTCTTTTGTCTTTTTGTTTTATTTCCTTGAGATCTCCTGACCCCCCAGGCCTCCGGAGCCCCCCATCGGCCTCTTCACCGAAAAAAGGATTATTTTGAATTAATTTAAAAGACTTTAACACACTTTTTATCTTTCGCAATTCTGGGGGCCCCCGAGGGGCCCCAGGGGGCCCCCAGAGGCCTCCAGCAGGGGCCTCGAGACCCCTGGGGGCCCCCGGGGGGCCCCTGGGTCTCTGGGGGCCCCCCTTGCTTCCTGGTGTGCCCAGACGGTTAGTTGCGGCTGTCTGTCAGCACAAGTAGGATACTTTTGGGTTTTAATTTAATTAATTTGTTAATTTTATAATTTAATTTAAATTATTTGGTTTATTTCTCCCCATAGAGCCTCTGCTGCAGCTGCTCCAGCTGCTAGTCCCCGCTGCAGCCTCGCGCCTCAGGCTGCTGCTGCTGCTGCTGCTGCTGCTGCTGCTGCTGCTCATTCTCCCGTGCTGCACCCCTCCCCGCGGCTCCCCCCGCGCTCCCCTTCCCCGTCCGCGCCTCCGCCTCCCCCGCTGCTGCTGCTGCTGCTGCTGCTGCTGCTGCTGCTGCAATGTCGCTGTTTGCTGCTGTTCCCCTGGCGCCCCCAGACCCCATTCTAGGCCTTGCCCAGGCCTTCAAAGAAGACAAAAACCCTAAAAAGGTGGACTTGGGAGTTGGGGCCTACAGGACTGAAGATGGAAAACCCTACGTCTTCAAGTGAGGCCCCCGCTGCTGCTGCTGCTGCTGCTGCTGCTGCTGCTGGTGCAGCAGCAGCGGCAGTGGCTGCTGCTGGTGAAACAGCAGCAGCTGCTGCTGCTGAAGCAACAGCCGCAGTAGCTGCGGCTGCTGAGGTAGAGGCAGCTGTAGCTGCTGCTGCTGAAGCAGCAGCAGGTGTTGCCGCCGCAGCAGCGGAAGCGGCAGCAACAGCAGCTGCTGCAGGAGTTGTTTCAGCAGCAGCTGCTGCTGCAGTTGATGCTGCAGCAGGAGTGCTGGCAGCAGCAGGAGTGGAAAAGGCCGCAGCTGCAGTTGCAAAAGAAAGAATTGTGTTCTTGCTGCTCCGCATTTAAATTGTTCTTTGGCTATCTTTTGCTGCTGCTGCTGCTGCTGCTGCTGTTGCTGCTGCTGCTGCTGCAGGCGCCTCCGGTGTATCCGTTTTATTTTTGTCCATACTTCTGTTTTCAGACTCACATTAAATGTTTTTTATTTTTAATTTATATTTTTTTATTTTTACTTTTATTTGTATATTCACATTTATTGCACATTTATCTGTATGGGTATGTGTATTGCCGCCAGCGCCATACAAGGGTTAGGGTTTAGGGTTTAGGGTTTAGGGTTTAGGGTTTAGGGTTTAGGGTTTCTTTTCCAGGGCTGTGCGCATGGCGGAGGAGCAGATCATGAGTGACCCCACAATCAACAAGGAGTATTTGCCCATAGACGGACTGCCAGAACTCAAAGAGGCAAGCAGCAGCAGCAGCAGCAGCAGCAGCAGCAGCAGCAGCAACAGCAGCAGCAGTTGCAACTCAAGCAGTAGCAGTAATAGCAGCAGCAGCAGCAGTAGCTGCAGCAGCAGCAGCAGCGGTAGCAGCAGCAGCAGTAGCAGCAGTGGCAGCAGCAGCAGCAGCATAAGCAGCAGTAGCAGCAGAAGCAGCAGTAGGGTCTGTTGCTGCTGCTGCTGCTGCTGCTGTTGCTGCTGCTGGCTTGGCACTTATTGTGTCTGTGCATGCAGATCTGGGCCCATCGATTTTGTTTCTTTTGTTTATTTCTTTTGTCAGTTTTTGTTTCTTCTTGTTTCTTTATCTTTATTTCCTTTTTGTAATTGTTTTATTTAATTTCCTTTTATTTTTATTCTTTTTATTTCTTGCAGCTGACACAAAAGCTGCTGTTTGGCGAAGATCTTGCTGCTGCAGCAGCAGGAAGAATTGTTTCTCTCCAAACCCTTTCCGGGACAGGAGCTTTGCGGCTCGCGGGAGAATTCATTCGCCACTTCGTGCCGTCTGCTCGCGTGCGCGAGGGTTTAGGGTTTAGGGTTTAGGGTTTAGGGTTTAGGGTTTAGGGTTTGGGGTTTAGGTGGGGGGTTCAGGTTTGGGGTTTGCGGTTTAGCGTTTAGGGTTCAGATTTCAGGGTTTGGGGTTGAGAGTTCGGCGTTGGGGGCTGCGGGCCCAGGGTTTAGGGTTTAGGGTTTAGGGTTTAGGGTTTAGGGTTTAGGGTTTAGGGTTTAGGGTTTAGGGTTTGCTTCCACAGGTTACGAGAGGCGTTGACTTTGAGGGCATGATGAAAACCCTTGAAGAGGCCCCTGAAAATTCGGTTGTTGTTTTGCATGTCTGCGCTCACAACCCCACTGGTAAACCCTAAACCCTAAACCCTAAACCCTCGGGTGTCATAACCCCAGATCTTCTCAAAGCAGCTTTGGAATTGGATAATCCGCTTTCTTGTCAAGACTGTGTGCTGCTGCTGCTGCTGCTCGTGCGGCTGCTGCTGCTGCTGCTGCTGCTGCTCTGCTAGTGGGTGATCTTACTGGATGCTGGTGCTCGTGCTGCTGCTGCAGCTGGTGTTACTGTGTGTTCCGTTTTTGCTGCTGTCAAGACTGCATGCTGCTGCTGCTGCTGCTGTTGCTGCTGCTGCTGCTGCCGCTGGCAATATGGGGAGTTAAATTCTCTGGCGCCAGCGTGTGTCTTCTGTTAGCTGATCCTCTGCGTGTCTCTTCCGCCTTCCCTTGCCGACCAGCCTGCTGCTGCTGCTGCTGCTGCTGCTGCTGCTGCTGCTGCTGCTGGTGCAGGGATGGACCTGAGCCATGACCAGTGGTCACGGCTGGCTGGCGTGTGCCGCTCGCGGCAGCTGCTGGCCGTGCTGGACTGCGCGTACCAGGGCTTTGGTTCTGGAGAGTTGGAAAAGGATGTTTTTGGAGTTCGTTTGTTTTGCAAAAGTCTGAAAATTCCCTTTTTCGTGGCCCAGTCCTTCGCAAAGAACTTGGGGCTTTACGGCGAACGCGCAGGCGCGCTGCATGCAGTCTGCGGGGGGCCCCTCGAGGGGCCCCCCGTGCTGTCGCAGCTGAAGGCGTTGGCCCGGAGGGCCTACAGCAGCCCGCCGCTGCACGGGGCCCTCGTGCTGGCGAGGGTACTGGGGGGGGGCCCCCTGCGGACTCAGTGGGAAAAAGAACTCAGTGCCATTTCCCAAAGAATCAAGAACATGAGGCAGCTCCTCAGGGCCAAACTTGAAGGCAAACAAACCCCCGGAAACTGGAACCATATCACCCAACAAGTCGGCATGTTCTCCTTCACAGGACTCACCCGTAAACCCCAAACCCTAAACCCTAAACCCTAAACCCCAAACCCTAAACCCTAAACCCCAGAGCGCGGACCCTAGGGCTTACGCTCTGAAGCCTAAACACTAAGGCCTATGTTTTGACGCGTAAAGCCTAAACGCTAAACTCTGAAGCCTAAACCCTGAAGCCTAAACCCTAAAGCCTAGAGCCTAAACCCTAAACCCTTAAACCCTAAAGTCTAGAGCCTAAAGGTTGACCTGCGCTCATAAACGTAGCGGTCTCCCCTAGGCCTGAAACGGATTTGGGATCAGACGCGCGTGTGTGGGTTGCCGAAACCCTAAACCCTAGAAGGCGCTAAAGGCCCCCGGAAACCCTAAACCCTAGACCCTCAGACAGGTTGGAGATAGAGAAACGGATGAAGATCAAAAAGACAATAAAAAAAGTAGAGATGAAGAGTAAGCAGAAAGAAAAAGAAATAAATAAAAGAGAGACAAATAGAAAAGAGAAAAATAAAGACTAATCTGTCTTTTTTAGTGTCCATTTGTCTCTTCCTGTTTTTTTGTCTTTTTTTGTGCAGCTGAGCAGTGCGAACTTTTAACAAGCAAGTGGCACATTTACCTTTTGAAGAATGGCCGCATCAGCATGGTGGGTCGGGGCCTGGGGTTAGGGTTTAGGGTTTTGGGCTAGGGTTTAGGGTTTAGGGCTAGTGTCCAGGGCTAGGGTTTAGGGTTTGGTATTAAGGATGAGGGTTTGGGGTTATGGGGAACAGCATAAGGCTGGGGTTCAGGACTTAGGGCCAGCCCTTACGGCTTAGACGTAGAGCTGCGAGTCTAGTGTTTAGGGTTTAGGGTTTAGGGTTTAGGGTTTAGTCCGTGTGTGCGCAGGCGGGCGTCAACCACAGCAACGTAGACTACATCGTGACGGCCATAGATGATGTCATAAGAGCAGCACCAGCTCCTTAAGTGTGTCCTTAGGGGCCTCTTAGTATTTCTTTTGGGCCTTTTGTTATCTCCTTTGTAGCCCCCAAGGGCCTCCGTTAGGGCCCCCAAGGGCCCCCTTAGGGGCCCCCTAGGGCCCATTTTGGGGCACCCTAGGGGCCTCTTTGGGGCACCCTAGGGGCCTCTCTGGGGCACCCTAGGGACTCCTTTGGGGACTTTTAGTGTCTCCTTTGCGGCCCCCTAGCGTCTTCCATGGGGCCCCCTAGCGACTTCCATGGGTCCCTCTAGGGTCTCCTATGGGGCCCCTTTGGGGGCCTCTAGGGTCTCATATGGGGCCCCCTAGTACCTCTTTTTTGGGGCCCCCTAGTGTCTCTCTTTGGGGCCCCCTAGTGTCTGCTTTTGGGGCTGTTTGGTGAATTTCTGTCCTTGTCTCTTGGCCCCTTGCTTTCCCTTTTCGTCTTGTGTCCCAAGTGTCTTCTGCAGTGTCTAGACACCCCACCGAGAAGTGTGGGGTTTCACACCTGAGGACTTCGGGACTGTAGATGCTGTCTCCTCAGCCTTAAGTGCCTTGGGGGCCCTTCCTAGCAGCTCTGGGGGGCCCCCAAGGATCCTTAGAAGGGCTCTACCACGTGGGGGCCCTCTTGGGGGCCCCCCACGGGGAAGGGCCCCCGACAGGTAGGGGGGCCCCCACCCTTAGGGGCCCTTAGCAGGTGGGGCCCCCTTAAGAGCCCCTACCAGGTGGGGGCCCTCTGGGGGCCCCAATCTGCTGGTGGCCTTTCTGGGGGCCCCCACTTGGTGGGGCCCACTAGGGGGCCCCATTTGGTGGGGCCTGCCGGGGGGCCCACAGGGGCCCCCGGCCGCAGCGGCTGCGCCTCTAGGCAATTTGGGCATTTGTGGTATGACTGCAGTTGGGTGAAGTAGAGGGAGAAGATAAAATGGAAAAAAGGCAAAAGAAAAGATATGAGAGAGAGACAAAAGAAACGAGACAGAGTCTTTCATTATAGGGTTTTTAGAAAGGCAAAAAGAAGAAATGAGACAGAGACAAAAGGAACGGAGACAGAGCCTTTCAGTATGGGTTTTTAGAGACAAAGAGACCCAAAATTAGCTGCAAACAGACACAAAAGCAGCAGCAAACCGCAGCAGCAGCAAACCCCACAAGACAGCTGCGGATACACCGCATGCATGCAACACTTGTGGGGTGTCTGTACAGCTGATTGAGACAAACCAGAGAATGTAAAGAAGACAAATAAGCTCTACGGGACTCTCTTTGGCATTTAATCCAAAACTAATTTGGACAAGAGGAGACAGTGTCGCGCCGCCTTCGAAGGCTTCTGCTGCAGCAGCAGAAGCAGAAGCAGCAGAAGCAGCAGCAGCAGGAGCAGCAGCAGCAGAGGCACAGCAGACGCAGCAGGAGCAGAAGCAGCAGCAGCGAAAAAACACACTGGAACAGCACGCGGGTAGCTAGTGGCCTGCATGCAGTGTCTTGTTTTCTTTTCGTGATCTTATTTTTGCTTCTTTTGTGTCCTTTTCTTTTAATATTTCTCCTTTCCTTTTCATTCTTTTTGCGCATTCCTTTTTGTCTCCTTACTTCTTTTTCCTGTGAACTTGCTATTCTTATTTCTTTTTTATTATTATTTCTTTTTTTGTCCACCACTTTCTTTTCCATTTTTTCCATTCTCTTGTCTTTAATCTCCCAATTATTTTTTCTTGAATTTCCCAATTGTGGGTCCCTCTGCGCCTCTTGTGGTGCCCAATAGCAGGCAGAAGGATAAAAATATAAACAAAAATAGATAAGTAAATCGACAAGGATAAACGATTTGCAGCAGTTGCAGTTAAACAAATGTATTAGAATAGTAAATATGCATATTCATTTGTGTGTTATTCTTTTGTTAGCTAGATGCAGATATTTGTGCATTTTTGCAAAAGTGAAAAAGTGCATATTAAAGCACTATGCATACCTTTGCGATAACAACTACTTAAATGCCATTTGTCACTTTTCTGGTTTTTACAAGAATGTTTAATTGTACTATTTGGCCAAAAGGTATTAAAAAGTGCTCCCTGTTGCGCATGCAGAGATAAACAGTTATTTTGAAAGCCTAAGTTCGGGCAAGAGAACTAAATGCATAATTAATAAATATCAAATAGGGCCATTCATGTCTTCGCTGAAATAGTGCAAATCTACTGCTCTGAAATTCCCCAAAAAGAAAAGAAACAAACGGCTGCATCCACACCGTGGGGAACTCGGCAACCATCTATCTATAGAAATATGCCGATAAATGTATTAATATACATATTTATATAATATGTATTGTATACACGTGTGTCTATATATGCATATTATTTATATATACATGATAATGTGCGTATGTACATATACGCATATATATATTCATGTATATGGATGTATATATATATATATGCATGTATAGATATAAATCCATACACACATGTATGTCGATGTGCACCCGTATATATCGGCATATGTATATCCCTCCATATATGTGTACATGCATATGTATATATGCACATACATATATATGTACACATATATATAGATATATATTTATACAATCATGTATGCATACTGATATAAATGTGAATATGTGTCCCATATATATATATATATGCGTATATATTATATAAAATAAATAATAATATATACGTATATGTATGCATGTATGTGTATATGGGTGCATGCGAACATGCACTTACATGCAAACATTCAAATTTATAAATTTGTGAATGTGCGAAAGCTTGTATGTGATGTCCACTCCTATAAAGATATTCCCATACATATAGTCAAGTCTACATATGTACATATATATATATATTTTATATGTATGCGTATATTATTAAGTGGCTTACTGTGTCTAAACACAGTAAGCCACTTAATAATATTATACGCACACATATAATATGAACACGCAAATATACACATACAATATATAAATAAATGATATTTAAAATATACTAATATAAAAAATATATATGTACAATGTGTAATATATATATATATATTCATATCTACGCTGCCTTGAAGGCAAA